TCAGGCCGACTCTTCTCCCCGTCCTTAAGTTGTCTTAGTTAGGCTTACGTCTCAGCGGCTCTTCGCCGCCTGCGTCCCCTTTTCCATAAACGGGTCGCTTCCGATTCGGCAGAGAGGCCACACAAGCCAATGCCAGTCTCACAGGTGGTATTTAGTGGGTAGGCACTTAGATTTTGCAATGAGTCTTACATAATCACGCAGCCGGCTGTCATACCCACCTCCCTTCCTAGCTTCCCGGGGGGTAGCCCTTTCCATTGCTTCTGGGCGCAAAAAAAAAGAGGCTAATGCTTTCTCTGCCTCAATTACAGCTATCTCTGTTCATTATAAAACATTATTTATTTACATATGCTATCCTTATATAGCCATTATGTAACTTATCTTTTATCACAAGAACAAACATATTTTTATCTAAAATAAATGTCTAATTCAATATAAGACTTATATTTGTATTACATAGGCGATTACTATGTAACACATGACTAGGTAAATCTATAAACAAACTTTGTGGAATTGACTCTCGACCGGAGAATTGAACCCCGAAATTTCGATTATCGAATGTTCCTATCATTATATTGAATCTATTTACTTTTAACATAGATTGATTTATTATTTGGGACGTTTTTATACTGTTAATAGTAAATAATTATAAGTGTAAACTTACTTAATTTTTATGACAGACGTTGTCCTATCCCTTTGGGCGACCTTTAGTCCTATAAAAAATCCTTATCTCGCAATTTATAAAATTGAGGGTCACTTATCATAAAAACTATTCTATATCTTAAGTTGGAGCAAGCAACACACATTAACAAAAATAAAAATAAAATTAAAATCGTTTGAGCGATTCGGAGATTAGTGAGAACAAACATCGTGACACGGGATTTTTATAAATGTATTAAATAATATATTTACTAACAAAATACCACTGACCATAAAACTTTCCGATAAAGCACAGGTCTGCGAGGTCAAACGTAACATAATAGCTTAATTTTATTCCATAAATTCAAAAGGTTTTAAAATACAGTCGTTATAAATATTTGGTTTGGGTGTAATTTTTCTTTCCGATCGGCTTGGTTCTTTCCGATAGGCTTGACTCACTGGCACTGCGTAGAGATGTTGCATCTCTTTGCGTATTTTATCGCATCTATCACGGGGAGTGCTCTGAGAAATTGTTCGGACTAAATCCAGCCGCTTAATTTCACCATCGCACATCGCGACAAAACTCGCGATACCATCCATACCATCTGGATGATTGGCGGTCCACCACTGTGCCATTTAGAAGAAGTTTTCTCCCTTGCACAACTTCCTTGTGGAATCGATTACCACCAGCGATTTTTACGGACGGATACGACTTAGGGATCTTCAAGAAAAGAGCCTACTGCTTTTTAAAAGGCCGGCAACGCAACTGCAATTCCCCTGGTGTTGCAGTTGTTCATGGGCGGCGGTAGTCACTTACCATCAGGTGAGCCGCATGCTCGTTTGCCCTCTTTCCTAAAAAAAATTGAACCTTGTACACACACAAAGTGAGAAATTTTCAATATTATCATTACTGCCCTTACAAGTCAACTGCTGAACATTGGCCTCCCCCATGGTATGCCACAAAGCAAGCTCCTGGTCCTGAGCAACTTTCATCCAAAGACTTCATACATCTGGGGCGCCGCCGGCCTTCACTTTCAGGTACGAGGTTGTCACTCGGAAACCTTTATTCCCCATCCGATGTCAGTTCTTCGAGCTAGTGTAGTGAGTTATAATTCATATTTATATACTATTTGCATTGCTCCTTTAATAAATGACGCGACATGAAACAACAGTAACCTATCAGGTTACTGTTGTTTCATAGCGGTTGTGGGTACGTAGCCGCACTTCGATTACTGTCGTGAATCATTCCTAACACAAACAATAAAAGTTTGCCATGAGTGGTTAAAGGGAATATTAGTGACGTTAATAGCATTATTAGTATTTTTTAATATTGTTATAAAAAAAGTTTATACAATTGAATTTCTAAAACACCTTTAAAGGAAGTAGCAGCCCTTTACGAAATCATTAATGAATAAAAAAAATTGTGAAATCGTAAAAGCGCAAAATAAAGCGGAACAATTATTGTTTGTAACTTTGTTACGAAAGTATTTCGTAAAAAATCCCTTTCGTAAGCAATAAACTGGAGCGCCAGAATTGTCCTACTGTTTTTAACTCAATTACGAAAAAAAATTTTCTTGATTGCGACGTTGTTACTGAACTCAATTAAGATAATATCAGCAAGGCAATGACAAGGATTGAAGAAAAGATTTCTACAATAAGGGGAAGTAGTAAAATGTCTGACATGGAGTACCATTATAATAATTTTTTATGCTTATTATTATATGCGAATACTACAAATCAGCTTAATGTTAAGTTTGGTAGGTCACGTCTAATAAAGTCAAAGCTCCGTATCCCTCGTGCTTTAATCCAAAGCCCCGAAAACTTTCAGCTTGATTTACAATACCGTTTTAGTGCCTTGAATATTACAATACAGGGAGCGACATGAATTAGAAGCTCGTGAAAATTGATTTTTTTTTTAATAGGATAACAATAAAACGTGACAAACGAGCTCACAGTCCACCTGAATGTAAGTGGTTGCTGTGCCCCATAGACATGTACATCTATCCTCAATTACAAATCAAAATACAGATGCGTTGTCACCCGTGAGGATTTAGATGGAATCAAGGCATTCCAGTAAAAAGGGTCTCAGGTTCTCTACACTCACCATACGAAACACAGCAGCGTTAAGCTGCTATTGTACGCTATTAATCTGTGAGAGCGTGGTCCTTCCCCGGTCGAGTCGACCCATTCGTGATACAACTATACCAATATTATAGCTGCAGCATGGATTTACCACGAAAGAAAACGTCTGTGGGGTCGGAACTAAGTTCTGCCAGACCTGTCGAAGAAGAACCCGAAAATTCTCCGATCACACACTTAATCCCATGGCTGTTAGACGGGAATGAAACTGCATTTTTCAGCAAATTTGACAGCAGACATGCAACTGAATAGACATATTTCCAAATGTATGCCATACAGCTCTTATTAAAGATGCGATCGAGCGGAACCAAGACTCCTAAGTCTTTGCCAGAGATCTGTCTGCCAGAAGTATCTAACTCTCTGAGTATACCTTTGTTGATTACCTAAGTACTTACCATATTGCAGTTATTTAAAATAATTTGTAGTCGAAAATATTGCCTGTGTTTATCTTACCTTGCATTTAAATTAATAACTATGTTGTACTATGTCTATTTTAATAAGTGTGTTGTTGTGATTCTTATTGTGTACCAATTCTTATTTATATCTTCATAATAAAGGACTGCGTCCTTTGGTGAGTAAGTGAGTACTTAGCTATTGAATGTTACCTATAACTTGCTATCGATATTTAGAAAAATCATACAGTCCGTTAAGAAACGTTATATGTAATGTTAGTTCAAAATAAAATCTCGGATCGGCTACACGTCTATTTATTATAAAATCCTTCTAAATTGTGATACCTTGGGATTTTAAATAAAAGATGTCTTCGTCGTAACGGCTTTTATGGCAGACTGAACGGTGACGTTACAACAATTAACAAATGCCTTACACCTCCAGCCTTAAATATCTACATAATTATTTTGAAATAAACTTAATAAATAATTTTAAACTTATAACTTAACTATACTATTAATCTAATATTGGAATTTAATTACGGGTTTTCGGATTCGCCTGGAACGGGTCACTGGCCGCGACGGTGGCGGTGGTTGTGGAGGGATGGCGGGGTCTGGTACAGTCTCGCTGGGACATTGTGTATCTGCTTCGTGCTCGGTATTCACGTCATCTTTTTCAGCAGAAACCGCCACTTCCGTTTGCAACTTTGAAGACGCATCTGCAAACTCATCCTCGAGCCCATTTCGATCCTTTTCATCGACCTCATTAGTGATATCTGGACAGGTAACATCGAATAGGCGCGACCTACGTCTTATTTGTTCGATATGTCTTTTAATAAGTCGACCGTCACCATTGTCGAGAACGTATCATCCAGAACCTTCTTTCTGGACTACTGTGCCCTTGACCCATTTAGCCCGGGTGCCGTAGTACCTAATCCAGACTGTGTCCCCCAAAGAGAAATTACGGGGAACACCACCCGCATATTCGACTTGACGCTGCTGAGCATCGAGAACACGCGCTTGCACTACGTACCCACCGCGTAGTAAATCTAACCGTGAACGCAAGGAACGTCGCTGCAGCAGCATCGCTGGGCTCTCACCCGTGGTGCTTTGCTTACTGTTGCGATAGCTTAGTAAAAAGGTTTGTAGGGCGGTATCAATATCTACGTTATCCCTATAAGCTTTTTTAATTGCCCTCTTACACAGCTTGACAGCATTTTCCACTGCCCCATTAGATGCAGGGTGGTACGCCGGTGAAAACCTTTGCTGAATGCCATTGGTTTTCAAAAAACTTTTTAATTCAAAACTTGTAAAAGGCAGTCCCTGGTCAGACACTAGTTCTAAGGGCAAACCGAAACTTGAAAATATTGACGTCAGCACCTTAATAATGGAAGTCGCATTCGTTCGCGCTACTTCTATGATTTCAAGCCATTTCGAGCTCGAATCTATTAAAACTAAATAAGTTTTACCTTTATACAGCCCTAGGAAGTCTATGTGAACTCTAGACCAGGGAGGCAAGTAGGGCCAGGGGTTTGATGGCGCGCGCGGCGGGGCGTCCGCCTCAGAGGCGCAAGTCTCACAGCTTCGGCATAGCGCTTCCACACCCGCATAGATGTTCGGCCACCACACATAACTCCGTGCCAGCCCCTTAGTTTTCACGATGCCCATGTGGCTGCAGTGTAGTTTTTTTTAAATAATTGGACGTAAATATGAAGGTATTACCATTCTATACCCCTCATAATCGACCCATTATCTAAATATAGTTCATCAACAAAATAAGGTTTAACTTCTTCACTAGGGCAAACTGTCGGCCAACCCGATTTGATATAGGCGATTTGATATCATACAAAAATAACATAACATCCTCATTAGTAACCGATAAAAAAAATTCCACGAAGTTAATATAAGTAATTTCTCTATTTATCGTTTTTAATTACTAAAAGGAATTGGTAATCTTAATAAACCGTCGGCGAAATTTTTATTACACGTTACGTATTCGATATTATAGTCGTAACCAGATAAAAGTACGGTCCAACGTTGGATACGCAAAGCCGACATAACCGGTATTCCCATTTTTTTACCAAATATGTGTGTTAACGGTTTATGGTCCGTACGCAATATGAATTTTCGCCGATAAAGATACTGATGATATTTTCTTACACCGAACACAATATCGAGCGCCTCCCGATTGATCTGCGAGTAGACTCGCTCTGCAGCCGTGAGCGAGCGCGACGCATACGCCACCGGCCGCTCGCCCTCTGGCGTCAGGTGCGAGATGACTGCACCTACACCCACGCTACTCTCATCATACGTCAGCACAATAGGCAAATCGCTAGAGTCTCCTCTCCTCTCCTCCGTGTTGCGCCCTGTAATAATTATATCGTCCAAAAATACGCCTTCGGTAGATTAAAGAATTGCTCTAAATCTTTTTGAAAAATGCCAGGACTTGATGATAAGGTGTATACTAAGCTGTTATACCTAAACAAGCCCTTGTGTGTGTGTTAATCACCGTGTATTTGGCAGATTCGTCAAGTACAATTTGTGCGTAAGCTTGTGAAAGGTCAATTTTACTGAACCACTGCCCCCCTTGTAAACGTACCAGTAAGTCTTCTACTCTAGGCAAAGGATAGCGGTCGACTTCTATAACTTTATTTAAAATTAACTTATAATCGGCGCAAATCCTAATGTTACCGTCTTTTTTCACCTCGGGCACTATGATAGTCGCCCAGTCGGAGTGGTCAACGGGCGTGAGGATACCATCCCCACCAGCTGCTCGAGTGCGCGCTCCACGGGTGCACGTAACGCATAAGCCAGCGGACGTGCTCGCATGAACACGGATGCTCACCAGCGGCCCAGTGAACCGTCCCAGGCCGTCCGCGAACACCTTACAATATCTGGAACTGAAATCGTTCAAGTTAAAAACATCATTCGATAAACAGTTTAAGCTTCCAAATGGAGGTAACTTTATATTGAGTTCTGCCAACCATTGTCTGCCTAACAATATACTTTTACCATTTTTAATAACATATAAATCGAGATGCTTTTCTTTATCTTTGTACTTTACTAAAGGCCTTATCACACCTACAGGTTTCACTTGTTCACCCGAATAGTACCTTAGCAACAAAGAACACATATTCAGTTTTAGGTTACTGAATTGTTGTTTATATAACTCGTAGCTAATACATGAAATGGCACTGCCTGTATCACACTCCATTTGAACATCCCTACCGTGTACTGTTAATGATATAAACAATGGTTTGTAATGACTGCAAACCATTACCTCGTCACTTGCTTCACTGTTTAATAAACTGTCAGTCTCACTCTGCACTACGTTAACGCTGTATTGTCCTGCTATATAAGGATACATCCTTTGTAAATGTCCTTGTTTATTGCACACTCAACACACGTAGCAAGCAAACTTGCAGGTCACTACATCGTATGCATTTCCGCACGCACGACACTCTCGCTGGCGTCGTCGTCGATCATCCAGCACCGATGTTGATACATTAGGCCCGGTGGGTGTTGCTGCTGCTACCCTGGATGCTCCGCCGCGCATCCTGACCTCACCCTTACTGCCCGCGCGCCGCTCGCCGTCACAGGCGATCGCGCGCCCGGTCCATCTTGTACTGACAATCGCATGGCAGTTTGTGGATGCGCTCGAGTCTCCAGATATTTTCGGATGCACATCGACGCTGGCTGCATCCTTCTCCGCCGCATCTTCTCTAGGTCCATTACATATTCTGATATACTTTTACCGTCCCTTTGCTTCTTTTGTCGGAATTTAAATCTTTCAGCCAGCTCGTTGGGTTTTGGTTGAAGGTAATTTTGCAAAATTTTTGTTAGCTCTAAAAACATTTTTGATGTGGGTTTTTCCGGGGTACACAAACTCATGAGTAGTTCATAACTCTCCGCCCCCATAACCGTGATTAATGTAGGTACATGTAGCTCACTTGTTATTTTGTTCACAACAAAAAATTGTTCGAGCCTTTCCAGATATAGTCTCTAATTGTCTGTGGCCTTTTTAAATTCCGATATTTTACCAATCGACATGGTTTAGGCCGTTAAGCTTATACACACGCGAACTTTTACGAAAACTTTACTTTTTTTTCTTGTCGCCGATGTGCTATCTTGGGATGATAAGAAAGATGTCTTCCTCGTAACGGCTTTAATGGCGGACTGAACGGTGACGTTACAACAATTAACAAATACCTTACATAAATCAAACTCAACCTTACCGCTCTAGACACGCGAATCTAAGCAAATTAAATTCTATCATTATAGAATTATTACGCATAGAAACACAGTCCAGTACAAAACACGAGCGTTAAAATGATGCAAAGTCATTATGTTAGTGGGCGCGAGTCGAATGTGCCTACGCTCGTCACACGCACACATACACGCCATTCAGTGATACCAGTTTCTGGCGTTTGCAATCAAATTGTGCAAATCACTATTTATTGATTAATTTTAAAAAATCGATATAATAAAGATTACGTATTACGTACGAAGATTATTTAGTAGAAGTATTTTATGAGAATATAAAATGGAATAAAATAAACACGATAATGATGTTACTAATATAACTTTATTATACATATATTAATGGTAAAAAATGCAGACGTAATAAAATTTAAGAATATTATTAAACACAATTAATTTGCTCGAATACAATAAGCACATCGTGTAATGTTTAATTTTAACCGACTTCAAAAAGGGAGGAGGTAATCAATTCGGTGTATTTTTTAATGTTTATTACCTCAGAATTCTACAATTTCTAAACCGATTTAGATTTTTTTGAAAGGATATACACACATATTGATCCAATACACACGCTGAAATTTTAATGGTTGTTTTCCCGAAGTAAAATGATTTTACCTTAGTGGTACAATAGAATAGATGTAAAAATGGCAATTTACAATTGAGAAAAACAATACTCGAATGCGATCTCAAACCAATAGCAATATCTCGCAAGTAGGTCGGGCGTACAGGCTAGCTTATACCGAATAACTATAATAAAGTTTGAAAAAAAATTCGCTGGACGTAATGTAGTGTTACGTCTATCGCACGTGCTACCGCGCGCTTCCTACACAGTGAAGGACCACTAATAAATGTTCATAACATGAACTCTCAAGCGTAGTGATACGACATAAATTAGTTTGGACACCCGAATAGCTTGTGAGGTATTACTATAGTAAATCTGCCCTTTTTTAATTGTAATATTTTTTAATTTAATAAATTGACTCTACTATCGAGACAGTATAATTTAGCTGCGGGACAACAATCACTAAAATTTCAGCATGTATATACGAATTGATCAAGCTTAGAAATCAGTGTACATACATATTGATAACCTTTCTTTTTGGGAGTCGGTTAAATAGGCTATGTTTGGGTCTAACGTAACATCTGGTTAATTTTTTTAGTTTTACGCACTTATAATGAATTAAATGTATAAACTTATATGTGAACTTATTTTATGTTTATCATCACCGTGGTGACAATATTTTACAATACAAACGGTAATTTTTACAATTTTTCGCGAGCTCTTCTCCATAAGACGTGACGTTGTGCACTGACGCGTCGCTGAGTCAACTTACGCGGTTTCGAGTTAGTTTTACTTGCTTCACTTTCGGTGTGCGTACTAGTATTCTATGCGTAATAATTCTATGTCTATCATCTTTAATTTTCATTTTTATAATCTTTTAAATATTTTATTATTTTCTACCGTGTAGTGTTTGCTTATATGTAGTATACAGTAAATATTGTTATTTGTTTTATTTACTAATAATTTACCATGCACAAATACACAAACATACATTTATATATAAGTCACTGTCTCGAGCGCACCGCGTCAGTTACACGAGAGCCTCGGGCGAGAGTGGACGTGTTGTTTAGTTAAAGTGCGTGCCGAGCCTGTGTTACACTACAGTGGTTAGAGAAGATAGCAGACATTACAAATGGCGACGAGGAAAAAGATAAGTACCTATTTAGTATAAAGATATAATCAAAAATAGGTTAGCAATGTGCAACTATTAGCATTGCAATTGTAAATTAATTCCTAGAGTACCCGCGGAAAAAAAACTGTGGATTATGAATTATGATTTATTGTTTTTAACCCTGTTCTGATCATTTTAATAATTTATATAAAATATATGTTCGCATTTGACCACGCTTATGGTGTGCTAAAATTTATTTTCTTTATGTAGCAATGATAAAATAATGATTTATTTTAACATATGTCTATTAGCACAACTTTTATATAAAAAGATTTTTGATGGAAAAATAGTAGATGTTACTAAAAACTCGTCTCGATTCGAACCGAAATACAATGTCGTTAGCTAAATTTTAGTGGCATTTAATGTGATATTTATCGCCTTTAATGAAAATACTATTTTACCGCTTTCATGGCATATATAAGTCTTACAAAAAATCGTGGACACTTCACGACTTCTGTACATTGCAAAGTAGGTAACTAGTAATACTGTTTATTTATTTATTTGCTTTTTAAGGGAAACATACAGTGCAATAATAAATTACATAATAAAACATATAAAAGTAATCCTAAAAACCAATGAAGTTTCCACAGATATCTAATACATAATAAAAGCAAACCACAATATTATGTTGTATAAAATTAAAAATATAAAAGAATAAAACAAGCTAAATGGTATTCATAAATTAAAACATTAAGTAGTAAGTAGTTAAAAGTAACATTATATATACAACTCAAAGTGATACTACCAATTATATATTAAGTTTTACAATATTTTCTTTGTAACTATCATATTCAAGGTGAAAAATATCTAATATTTACAATATTTTAAGTTAAACTTTTGCATGTACGAGATACAAAATTATTTGAGGCATTTTTTTGTTTTAACTTTAGGTAATGCAAAAAGTGGTTTATTTCGTGCACCTAACCTGTGACACGCAAGATTCACCCTGCCTAAAAGTAGGGGAGAGTCGATGATATTATGAAGCAATTTGTACAACAACATTTGATCTCTTATATCACGGCGTTTCTCGAGGGTATTGCTGTCTTAGTTATCAATAATGGTAAATGCGCAATATAGGTATTGAATTTACCCAAAGCCTAAATGGCACAGCGATGGAAGTAGTCGGTATAACAAATAAACCGAAAGAGAAGGGCGAGTGTTATGGAACATATTATTATCATGAAACTGAGTTTGGGTACCAAGATACCAATCATTAAATTGAGTTGGGTACTAAGATACCATCATTAAATTGAGTTGGGTACTAAGATACCATCATTAAATTGAGTTGGGTACTAAGATACCATCATTAAATTGAGTTGGGTACTAAGATACCATCATTAAATTGAGTTGGGTACTAAGATACCATCATTAAATTGAGTTGGGTACTAAGATACCACCATTAAATTGGAACTTGGGTACTAAGGTAGGTACCACCATTAAATTGGACTTTGGGTACTAAGTTACTACCATTAAATTGGACTTTGGGTATTAAAATACCAGCATTAAATTGGAAAAGAAAAATATAAGAAACTGTTTCAGTTTGCCACTAAAATAATAATAATAATGATACCGTTATCAGCTTTAATGTGATAGCACATCTATGGCTATAAGGTGTGGAAAATGGGAAAGGTCTCTACTAATCTATCTGGACGTAGCTGAAGTTATATCAGCACTCGAGAAACGAGCTACGCTATTGCATTTTGGTGGCTCTGGGATAAAAGAAACCGTTGATGTATTTTAAGTAGCAAAATAAAAAAACTCTACGAGTATTTTCAACCTAAACGGAGCAAAGTTTATGAGCGGCATGTTTTTCGATTGCTAAAGCAGAAAAAAGGAGAGACATTTGAGAAGTTTTTGATAAGATTGCGTCAACAAGCCGAAAAGTGTGCATTCGAAAAGCAAGATGATCATTTCATAGATCAAATTGTGGAAAAGTGTAATTCGAAATTGCGCAAGAACCTTATATCTTACAAAACGTGGGAAGAGTTAAAAAGCAAAAAAGTATATGCTTTTAATCAAATGTAAAGACCAAACAAGACATTATTAGCATAGGGTAGTAACTCTCCTTTGGCAATAGAGGGTTCATTTGAAACTATACTCGAAGTCGATGGACGAAAGGAACATACAACCATTTACGTGATTTCGGGGGGTACTAGAAACCTGTTTGGTAAGAACACAGCAGTCCGACTGGGTGTCTTAAAACTTGGTATCGGGATAAATCAAGTGGAGAGTAAAAGCAAGCCGATCCCCTTTAAAGAGAAGGTTGCAATCAAAATTAAGGAATCACTAAACAGTAATATAATTGAAGAAGTGCAAGGCCCGTCTAAATGGGTTTCACCGATGTTCCAATCATGAAAGAAAATGGTGAATTACG